GCCCCGCCCGCGCTGTGTGGCCCTGCAGAGGCTTGGACAGAGGCGCTGGGCTCCACCGCGGCCTGCGCCTGCGCCGTGGGGCGGGCGGCACAGCCAGTCTGTGTTTCCACCGCCGTGGCCCAGGCACGGCACACACCACCACACCGACAGCCACCGCTGGCTCTGCGCCCCGGAGCGCGGGGTGGAGGAGCCGGGGAGCTCCGGGGTCTCCCAGGACCGGCTGGCCCGAGCCGGGGCGCAGGGCGCGGGGCGCAGGCCCACCTGTTGAAGATGTCTGCGGAGACCGTCTGCAGGTACTGCAGGGCGTCGGCCGCCTGCTGGACCGCCTCCTCCCGCCGCAGGTCGGGCTGCAGCAGGGGCACGGCGTAGGTCTGCCCCGCCGCCGACGGCTGCGTGTGCGCCGGCGTCATGGTGCCTGCGAGGAGAGAGCTTGGCGTCACCCAGACACGGCGGCACGGCAGACCCGGGGGGCACCCCTGGGTGGCGGGGCTCCCAGAAGCCAGGACCCTGCAGAGGCTTGTGGAGGGGAGGCCAGAGAGGGGTGGGGAAGAGGAGACGGAGGGATTCCAAAAAGTGGGACATGGCAGGAGGCTGAGATCGGAGGATCGCGGTTCGAAGCCAGCCCGGGCAGGAAAGTCTGTGAGACTCTCATCTCCAATAAACCACCAGAAAACCAGAAGTGGTGCTGTGGCTCAAGTGGTAGAGCACCAGCCTTGAGTAAAAGAAGCTCAGGGACAGCGCCCAGGCCCTGAGTTCAAGCCCCAGGACTGGCAAAAAAAACAAAAGGGTGGGCTGGGCACGGGTGGCTCATTCATACCTGTCATCCCACGCACTCGGGAGGCCTGAGGATCGCGGTTCAAAGGCAGCCTGGGCAGGAAAGCAGAAAAGCCTGTGAGACTCATCCCCAATTTATGACTCAAGAGCCAAAAGTGGCGCTGGCTCAAGTGGTAGAGCGCGAGGCTTGAGCAGCGCCCAGGCCCTGAGTTCAAGCCCCAGGACAGACAAAAACAACAACAAAAATAGGTGGGACACAGGTGCAGAGGCAGCGGGGTGTGAGCCGGGGTGTGAGCTGGGGTGTGAGCCGGGGTGTGAGCTGGGGTGTGAGCCGGGGTGTGAGCTGGGGTGTGAGCCGGGGTGTGAGCTGGGGTGTGAGCTGGGGTGTGAGCCGGGGTGTGAGCTGGGGTGTGAGCCGGGGTGTGAGCTCTGGGTATGAGCTCGGGGCAGCTCTACGGGCTATCCCAACCCCCACGTTGGATAAGGAAAGAAACCCTGGCGCTGGGCAGGGGCCAGCAGGGGAGGGCCGAGCAGGGCCAGGGGTCACCCAAATTCACATCAACAGCGGTCCCTAGATGTGCACAGGCTGCTGCTGTGAGGACCAGGGCCATGGGCGCAGAAGCCAGGGGCTGGGGGGGGGGGCCGGGGTGCGGGGAGGAGGGGCGGGGGGGAGACAGGAAGGCAGGCGCCTCTGGGTGGCGAGGAGCGGGCAGAGTCTATTTATACCAGGTTAATGAGCTCCGCTCCCCTGTGCCACCAAGCCGCTCGCACACCGCACACGGCACTGATTTGATTGGCAAGAGGGCGCCGGGCGGAATATTAAGATGCCAGGCCCCTATAAATAGCCTAATCAGACCCCCGGCTGGAAGATGGCGAGGAAGACATTAATCAGGCCTGGCACCGCGCCCCAAACCTGCTCTCAGGCGCAGCACAAGGGCCCTCGGCGGTGACTGGAGGGGTGCGTGAGTGCTGGTTAAGCACAGCGGGCGAAGGCCAGGTGGCTGCATTTGGTCTTCAAGTGCTGTGTAACCTTGGGCAAGTGGCTTGCCTTCTCTGAGCCTGCCTTGTACCTCGCCCCCTTCCAGACTCCAGTCTGAGAAGCTACTGAGCCTGTAATATAAATGGTGGACCAGAGCTCTCCCTTGCCCAGAAGGCTCTGTCCTGGCCCGTGCTGACCACCAAGCTGCTGAGTAGTCTCCCACCAGCACGCGAGACCCGGGTTACTCAGCTTCCACACCCAAACCTGCCACTCAAAGCCAAGAGTCCCGCCTCACCACCCCTTCCCTCTGATTGGTCACCCCAGGCCTGGCCCCAATCTGACTGTGCGTCTTCTGAAACTTTCCTTCCCTCCCTGAGGCCATCCTGACTTCGTTTCTCTGTCTCTAGGATCCAGAGCGTGTGTGGAATTGCACCTCACCCCACCCGCATGTTTGAGGGAGGCGGGCAGGTGAGGGGCTGGGAGATCCCAGCAGGGCTAAACAAGACTCTCCGGTGGGCTGCGACCTAGCTCAGTGGCAAAGCGCCTGCCGAGCAAGTGCAGTGTCCTGGGTTCGATCCCCAGTACCAAAAAAAGAAAAGACTCCAGCCTACCAGAAGGAGTCAGACACCCCCCTGGGCCGGGGCAGGGGCAGGCAGGGGAAGGGGTAAGTACGGGATGGAGCCCAGTGTGCGTCTGAGCAGGATGAAGGACCTTGGAAGAGAAGCCAGCATGGTGAACACGGGGTACCACGGCCAAGGAGGGAAACGCTGAGATTGGGGCAGCCCCCAGCTTGGCATGGAGACTGAGCACTGGGAGCGTAGCGCGCGCATGCGCACACAAGACACACGCGCAGACACACCACCCCTCCCACCTGTGTCTTTGCACCATGCAAACCGCTGTGTGTGGCTGGCACCTGGCTCAGCCACTCAAGAGACTGAGACCTGGGGACGGCTGCTCAAAGCCAAGGGGGGGGGGGGGAATGGGGAGGAAAAATCTGTGCAACTCTGTTCTCTCCAACAAACCAGAGGCAAACAAAACAAATAAGGCAGAAGCAGAGCTGTGGCTCAGGTGGTAAGAGCACCAGCCCTGAGCGTGAAAAAGCTCAGGCAGGGACAGTGTCCAAGGCCTGGAGTTCGAATCCCAGGCACCCAGCAAAACAGACAAAAGGCAACCAACACTAAACCATGCAGCCGGCGCCGGTGGCTGGCGCCTGTCACCCCAGCTACTCAGGAGGCTGAGATGGGAGGCTCGAGGTTCAAACAACCAGCCCAGGCAGCAAAGGCCCTGAGACTCTGATCCCCAAGGGACCACCAGAAAACCGGGAGTGGCGCTGTGGCTCAAGTGGTAGAGCGCCTTGCCTTGAGCTGAAGAGCTGAGGGACGGTGCCCAGGCCCCGAGTTCAAGACCCAGAACTGACAAAAAACTAAACTGAATCATGGGGGGGGGTGGAAAGCTGGGAGGAAACAAGGTAACACCATCCAGGAAGAAGTGCACGCAAATTAAACACAATAAAGAGAATTACTAAACAAATAAACAGGTAAATAACTAACAAATAAGTGAATTCCGAGTCTGTGCAAGGCTTCACCCTTGGACCGGGCTTCCAGCCCTAGTTCGCTCCCCTTGGCCTGGGCTGGGCCTGAGCCGGGCCTGGACTGGGCCTGGGGCTGGGCTGGGCCGGGCCTGGGCCTGGGGCTGGCCTGGGCCTGGGTGGGGGCCTAGGGCCTGGGCCTGGGGCTGGACTGGGCCTGGCCCTGGGTCGGGCTGGGCCTGGGCTGGGCCTGGGGCTGGGCCTGGGGCTGGGCCTGGACTGGGCCTGGGGCTGGGCCTGG